TGATACGAGTAAGAAGCTAGGCTTCCTTTTGGGTGGGGCTCCAGTATTTCCTTTTTGGAGGCCAAGTCTTCTGAAATCAGAATCAATTTTCTAAAACATACCACGTTGAATTGAGCCCCAGAGATATGTTTTTCTGTTTGTAGTCTTTTCCTCTCCTTTTAATAATAGAAGACATTATAAACATTCTCACTTCACTGTCTTCCTATTCTTAACTGTTCTTGGGAGGAATCAAGTCAGAAGATACCAAGCTTGGAGTCTCTTCATCGCATTCTTCATAGAAAAAATGATCTGAGCCAACACCACAGCAGTCAGCATCTGTCGTCTCTGCAAGGAGACCACAGTGGTAATTATGCACAGGGTAGGTTGCTTAAAAAATAAATTGATCAATTTAAAAAATTAGGTGTGGAGAATAAAAGGGAACCTGAGGATTTTTACACTGTTTTTGTGATATAATCAGCTGTAGCCAAGAGAGTTGCTTTATAATGTGAATATTCTTAGCTTCAGTCACACATTTTCTTCAGAATTAACTATCATAATCCTTTTCATTACTCTAACAGAGTCTGATGACTCTTGTCCTAGAGGGAAACCTCCCCCCCCCAACTCTTCTGTTAATAGATTGGGACCTAATGTGATCATAGTACTCTAATTTATTAGTCAGATCCTGGGTAGACTAAGAAAAATAACTGATAACTTAGACAGACTTTTTATATACTTTATTTTTCCTCTTTATTCCTTTTAAAATGAAAATACTGAGCTTTTCTTTTGATCTATTTTACATTTGCTAAAGAAGATAACAGTGCAGTAAATAGGAGGAATATGACCCTTGGATTCAAATGTCAGCGTCAACACCTAGTAGTTGTGCAGATTTATTTACCTGCTTATCAGTATCCTCCCAATAACTACTCTGCAATTTCTCTGAGCATTAGTATGAACAATAGATATTCAAATATAACTATTATTATTATCGTCAATTTTTCTGACCTGCAGAAATACACATATTCCTTGGAAGTATACATTTTTGGAGAGTGATCAGGGATGAGGTATTATTATACTTTAATTTTTTTGTTTCTTTTTATTCATTCAGTATATGCATGCGTGTATGTATTTGTGCGTGTGTGTGTGTGTGTGTGTGTGTGAATTTCACATAATGTGTATCGGGTACCATTTCAAGCACTTTGATAACATTAATGAATAAAACAGACAAAAATTTCTGCCTGCTCATGGGGCTTACATGATTGTAGTAGGTGTGGCTGGAAGCTGATAAATTCTATGGAAACATTAAACAAGATAAGAGGCTAGGGAGTTGGGAGTGGGTTGCAGTTATAAATAGGGAGGTGAGGGAAGGCCTTACTGTGAATACGACACTGGTTTTTTGTTCGTAGAGGATTTCATGTACTATCTTTGAGAATGGAGAAGGAAGATGAGAGCACAGAAAAGGAGTCTGCTGATTCATAGGAGAACGTGAGAATTTCCTTTGTGTAACATGTGTCAAAACACAAACTAATATAGAAAAGCAAAGTCTTCCAGGTGGGCTAGTTTTCTTTTATTCAATTTGAGCAAAAATCTTCCTGAAATGCTTTTTTTACATACTCCACCTTTCCAAAAGATGGATACTGAATACAGTCCACCTGATCTGTGACTGCTGCCAGGGATCATCACCATGACCCTCACGCCTGTTACTGAACTGTCATGAAGCAAGGTCCTCAGGGTCAACAGAGATGCTTTCGGCTATTTGCCTACATCATGACTGAGTCGGCAGTGGTTGTCAGTTCTACATAGCAGCTACTACACAGATATGACTATTCAAATTTAAATATAAATTAATTTAAATAAATGATATTAAAAATTCAGTTTCTTAGTCACATTAGTCATATTTTAAGTGCTCATTTCCAGCATTGCAGAAAATTGCTAGCATTTGTTGTTTTACATGTTCCTGTCTCTGACATTGTTTTTTGTGGTACTAGCAGCTTCCAACTCTGTCTCTTCCTTTTGACTTGTTGTTTCTCATGGTTTATAGGTTTAAATACTAGATTTAGAATTTTGTGTGAAGTAAGGGCAACAAGGCTCTAACAGAGAACAGAAGAGCATTCTTATGTTCAGGTCCTTGAGTTTTCCATACTTAGAATGTATATTTCTATTCTGACTGCCCCAAGGCCTTTTTTGCTTGGTTACTGTTATGCAGCTGTGCTCTGGGTGGTAAGAGAATCATACTGCTGAGTTATTATGGGAGGAATGCTATCAAACTTTAAAGGTAAAATTGCACTTTTATGGAAATGCTTTAGACCCTGTCAATGGTCCCTTATTTGGAGCAGTGCTTTTCAAGGAGTGTTTATTGACCGACTGCCTACACATATGCTAAACACTGTGTTATGTCCAGGAGATGCAAGCAAAAATGAACATGGCCCCATTCCATGAGATCACAGTCGATGTGGTGGAGAGAGTCAGAAATAGGCAGGGTTTCCAATTGTCCAGTGCCCAGGTATGCCCAGGACACTCTGAAAGTCCAGAGGAGGGTGGTTCCCTCTGGGGAACCTGAAAGTCCCAGGTGGTGGGAAGGGAGATGAGACAGGAGGTCAGAGGCCAGGGAACGCTCCCTAAAGAAGAAATTCTTAAGTGGCATCCTGGAGGATGAATAGGTGTTTGTCACATGACGGAGCTGGGAGAATGAGATCAACAACACATGATGTTGTATGATATGTGATAGTATGAACAAAGAAAGACACTGAGGAGTGAACTGTCATGGTGAGAGTGGGGACTTTTAAGTTTATTAATGATGGAATTTCAAAGAAGAGGGAGCTTGTGTCTGTAGAGAGGGACAAGCTTTGGGTGGTATGTTGAAAAGATGGTTTTCAACAGAGCTGGAGGAGGGGCAGTGTGGGAGTGGTGATGTAGGCTGAGCTGACTTCTCTGCAGTTCAGTTAGTTCACTAGAGCAGCTCTGTGGAGGTGAAGTTTGAGGGAGGTGGGCTGGAGGCTGGGACACCCGTGGTGGCAGGTGGGTGGAAGAGGAGGGAGTTGTAGCAGTCCAAAAGGTCGCTAATGAGGGCCTGATGTGAGAGTGTAATGGAGTGGAGGAGAGGACCTGGGTTCAATCAGTATTTAAGCCATAATATCTGGATTCGAGGATAGATTAGACATGAGGGCTGAAGGAGAGAGGAGTCAGAGATGACTCTAGGCTTTCAGGAAAACAATTAATTTGAACTCTTCTTCCATGTTTATGGTGATAGGTTTTGACCTATAGCTTCTACTAGTGATTTGCATTGGCAACTGTGGTGTCTGGGTTGGGTTTTGGTTGTTCAGGACTCTTACCGCTCTTTCCTTTGTTGAAAGAACTTGAGGCCTAGACTGTAGTGAAGTACTACCCTCCTATGACTTTAATTCTGCAACGGCCTATGAAAATTTATAGAAATTCAGCTTCATTTCTAGTGGATCCAGTCCAGATGCCAAAATTACCCTATTGCTGGGACAGTCCTTGGGTGGACCATTGAATCTGTTATTCATTAGGAACAACTGAAAACCATCAACAAAATTCTTGTACTATGCCAACAATAACCCCAGTCAAATATTAAGGTAGCTTCCAGGTTTCAGAAAGTTATGAATCTCAAAATCTGTCTAGCTGAACTCTTACTTGTATGTTTCACATATTTATTTATCATGTGAAGGAGCTAGTGGCTTCCTTTTTATAATTGTACATTGCATTTTTTTTTAGATTATAAATTAAGTTCAGAGTTCTGAATGTTTGTGGAGACATGCTTAGAGATCTGTAGTCAGTCACTTTAAAGTAAAATCACAAATTGAGTCCAGATAGGAGAACCAGAAGCAGGAGTGGAGCCAGCCCAAAGGGTCCATTATAATGGGGCCTACGTTGAAAGCAAGAATTCTCTCATACCTGCAGTGCATTTTAAAAGGATTTTCCAAGTAACAGTTAATATTTTAATGGCATCTGTTAACCTTCCAGGAAAACCTAGTTCTCTAGTTTGCAAGATTAAGGAAGCACGCGAAATGCATGTTGATACTTCAGTTTTTACTGACATATTTCATGACTGCATGGCTAAAGCCACAGAACAGTAGGCGCCTGCCACTTTCTTTTCACAGTTTTATTTAGTCGCTGCATCTGTCCTTTGTTGCTAAATACTTTTTCCTTGTCACTCAAACTGCTCCATCAAATTGGATCTTCAGTGGTCTGGCAGTTTTTGAATGACTTCTTGGAAGCTGTGAAACCCTGTTCCCTAATCAGGAAGATCTGGGCAAGTCTTCTCTTATGAGGAAAGATGGCATGTCTCTTCTAAGTGACACAACAGGATAATAGGACAATTACACAACATCTTCAAAATTTTTCTCTGAAGACCGGTGATGTGTTTTGGTGATGAACCAGTACTGTAAATTGAGAAGCATGGGAAATTTCCATATTCTTTGAGAGTGTTTTGTATAAAGGAGGAAAGAAAACAAGCTGACTTTTTATAATTCTTGGTAGAGGTTACATTAACTATTTGTCAAAAGTTGGATTTTTGAAGATTCTTGGCTTCTAAGAACATTCTTCATGAACTGCCATTCTTTGTATGATGTCAATGAAGGTTGTTTAACAACATAACAAAATAGCTTTATAAAAAGATAAATATGTGTTTCATTAATCCCAGGGGGAGCTTCTGAAATGCATTTTCTTTATAAATAATTAGTGTCATTCTGTGAAACTCGTGACTTCTTAGGGTGGGAAGGGGGAAAAATCTATCTTTTCAAGCAGTTTGTGATTTAGTACCAGCTTGTCGAGTGAGTTGAAAAGCCTTCTGAGTCGTATCCCTTATTATTTTGAATGCCTTTTCTCTCTCTTGGGAGACTAGCTAACCTCTGCAGTCTTTCTTCCATGGCAAATGGCTCTAAAACTTTGATCTTCTCAAACCAGTTTGCCAGATGTAGCAGGTAGAGCCTGTATGACCTTTTGTGTGCCAGTTCAACAGGGCTGATTGGAAACCATAAGTTAATCCTGTATGATGTTTTTTCTAGGCATTACAGCAGAAGTTCTCGTGGTGACCTCGTTCGAGGAACTGCAGAGAAGGGCCCCAGAAGCAAGAGGGAAGATTGTTGTGTATAATCAACCTTATGTCAACTACTCGAAGACAGTGCTGTACCGAGTCCAGGGGTCAGTGGAAGCTGCCAAAGTGGGGGCTGTGGCATCCCTGATTCGATCAGTGGCTTCCTTCTCCATCTACAGGTTGGTCACGATGTTCATTTGAAACCCTTTAAAAAAACCCGAAGATTGAGAAAAACCCATGAAAGAGAAACCCGTATGAAATAAAAACAAACCATTCAAATGAAAATACTGATTTGTTTACGGAATTTTCCCTCATTCCATATTTGGTCACTTGTTTGTAATGTCTTCTTTGGCCTTTTCAGGATTCCAAGCATTGTTTGTACATTCCTTTAAAAACCTTTCCACATCCGTGATGACCCCATAACATTCCTTATATAACCAATATGTTATGTATTTTCATTGGAGGGAGAACTGAATTCACGTCTGTGTTTCATCAAAGATTCCTAGTGACTTCAGAGGAAGCTAGGCCTTTTCCCATTGTTGCTAGAGAAGTGAAATAAAAATAAAGTGGGTAACGTGATGAGAGCTGTCTGTGGTGTAGTGGAAGGAGACTAGGGAGTAGAGGATCTTGGATACAGACCTCGCTCTGCCCCCAAACAAGTATGTGGCCTTAGGAATATTCTTGAACTCTGTGGGTCTTTGCATTCTTCTCTGTTAATCAGTGATGATGAAGAATAATAAATTTACAATATTACTTTTAGAATAAATGAGATAAACTTATGAAAGATACTCGATTATCTGTAAAGGTCTATATAAGTGTTTGATGGTATTTAAGGACAACATAAGTTTTCCTTTTTCTTTGTATATCTGATCGAGGTAATTGCAAGACCGTCAGTCTTAGGGTAAAATTCAGCCTTTCAGTGGATGAAAGTTCTGAAACTTGACCTGCAGGCATTTGGCCTAGTTTAATAGTTACATATGGTCATGCCACACATTAAGGGTGAAATATTTGATGGGATAAACATGGATAAAAGAAGCACCATTTTAGTGTTTTAGCCTGGTCTCCCAAAGATAAAAAACAAAACAAAACAAAACAAAGCTTACGGAAACAATTGCAAATCGGGTTTATTTGGGTTTCAAGATCAGATCAGTATCTATTGTAAGGGAAAGCTTATTTATTCTGCACAATTTTTGTTTGGAGCTGGAGACACAGTTGCTTGATCTTAATTAGCACCCTACACCCTTGAAAATAATATAACTGATGAGACATCAGCAAATAGGAAACCAAGTCAAAAGAGAGTTGTCCAGAAGTGCAGAGAAAAGAGAAAAGGGACATTTTTCTTTAATGGGGATAAGATATCTTCCCAGGGACGAAGATGGGACATGTTAAAACTACTTGTGAAATGTTTTATGAGAGAAAAACTAGTTCCACTCATGTCATAGTGCTAAAAATAATGTGCTTTGTAGGGTGCAAAGGTTTAGTGACTAGTGAAATAATCATTGGATCCTATTCTTTTGGATGGTTAATCTTCCCAGGAGGGAAGTCCTAAAATGGCTAGCTTACTTCCCAGAATACCTCAGTCACCCCTTAGAATAACAAGGGCCTCGGCAATGTGGCCATTCACTATGATTTCACTGGTCATGAGATCTAAATTATGGAGCTATTGGGTGATTGCCAAAAATATTTATTTAAGAACTACTATTTATAAGACTAATAAACTCCAAGATGACTTAGTGTACTGCAGTATACTAGGGTTAATTGACATTTTTTTTTCTGGTGTAATGACATCTGGAAACCCAGGCTATACCCTAGGAGCCCCAGAAAAATTTTGCCCGGCATAGGACATAGAAATGTATTGTTAGCCTTTAATATTTGGGATGAACAACTTATAGTGTATATTAAAAAGATGTTTTTCTTAATATTTCTAGTTCTAGACTGATTATAATCTTTTCATTGATTTTATAGCCAACCGTATTTCAATGGACTCTTGACTTTTGTAACTCCATCTTTTTGATATTTAAAAATACATAATTACATTGCCCTTTACCTAGTACTTTAGAATCTTTCACATATGTCATGTTACTCATTATGACAACTCAGTGGACCAAGCAGAAGGGGCATTATTATACCCATTTTACAGATAGGGAAATAAAAGTTCAGAGAATTCAGCATATTAACGTGTTTAAATATTACATCCTGAAAAATAAAAACAAAATGAAACAAACTCTTTTTCCACTAATAGCTAATTGTTTCTTAGAGCTAATTTTCCTTAAAGAGTATTTTGTATTCCTGTCTCTAATTCTTCACCTGTCATTCATTCTGCAGACCATTTTAATCTGGCTTTTGCCAATACTGAAATGGAACTTGTTAAGGTCACAAATAGCGGCCTAGTTGTCAAATATAATGGACATTTTCAGGCCATCATCTTACTTAACGACTCTGAAACATTTGTCACTGTTGAATGCTTTCTAAATACCTCTTCTGTTTGGCTTCTGTGACTTTGTTCTTATATTCTCTTTCTCTTTCTTGCTCTTACTCTTTCTCTCTTTCCCACTTACCCTCTTCCTTTTCTGTTTCCCTGACTTCTCACTCTGAACATTCTACCTGAGCAGTCCCATCGTGCTTGTGGCTTCAGCCACCATCTCTGCCTGTGACACTTTCCAAACCCACCTTTCCTTCCCATACTTTTGTCTGAGCACGGGGCCCATACATCCGACGACCTCCTGATCCTTCTTTTGGATGTTCCTTAGTTATCTCTTCAGTTTTCTTCAAAACTGAACTCACCTTTTTACCTCTTTATCCTGCATTTTCTACCTCAGGGAAGAGCATGTCATCTATTCCGCCTTCTAACTTAGATGGTTCTTGAGAACTTTTTTCCTCTTCCCTTATCCATCATTGCTGACAGTTACTATGCCTTCTAGGCTCTGCTCTTTAACAAATACATATTGAGTAGCCCCATTTCCCAACATGACTCCACATTCCAGTAGTCAGGAGTCACTGACACTTTCCCAATGCACCAGGTTTCTTCAGGATTTCATGACTTTGCATATGCCTTCTCCCCTGTAACCTTCTATCCCTTTCCTCATTGTCTCAAACTGTCCTTTAAGATTCATCTTAAATGTTTCTTTTTCTGGGGAGCCCTCCCTGGTATCTAGCTCCAGCCAGGGTGAGCCGCCTCTTTCCAGCATTTCCACATCGTTCTGTGCATACTCTATATCATAATGTCTTGGAGGTAGATGTGATCCATGCTTTGGTAGGGTACACTAACTATTGTATCAACTTCAAATCTCAGTCACTTAACACAATAGGAGTTGATTTCATACTCACATAATAGTTCTAAGAGGGTGTTTAGCAGGTGGCCTTCTGCTCCTTTCCATCAACTCTAAGATCTCAGAGCCTTCTGCAGGATCTTTTACATCCAGCTGGCAAATAAAAAGAGAGAGAGAGAAAGTCGATAATCAAACAGGAGGTTTTCCATGGCCAGGTCTGGACACGGCCTACTTCACTTCTGTTCACATTTCACTGGTCATAATAAAGTCATGAGGCTGGGAGATGTGGTGTGCCTTTATGCCCTCAGTGACAGAAACTGTCCAGTCCATCCTGATCACCTGACTCCACTGTACGTTCCAGAAAGACATGGGATATCTTTCTGTCTTTCTCTCCATGTAAATATACATATACACACACATATATGTATATAAGTATTTATATATATATACATATATATACACATACACACACACACATATATATATGTATATATATATTTACATCTCCAAATCCTCATCATCTAGTATTTTTGTTACATAATAGTCACTCAGGAACTGTTCTGTTGAGGGAATGAACTTGTTTGAGATTGTATAGTCAGTCATGGCAGGGCTTTCGTAACAAGCCAGGTGACCAGATTGCAAATGCTCTCGGACCAAACTGTATAACCTCTGTATAGTAAATACAAAACAACTTGAATTTTTGGTCACTTTGCTCTGTATTTAAGGAAAATATACAGGTGCCCAACATGCCAGATTGTATCTTTTTTTCTGCCACAACTTTCATGAACAATGGTGTTTTGAGTTGCTAGTTGAATAAAACAGCTCCCTTCTCTCTGGCAGATATTTCACCCTTAAGTTTTATGGGGGTGGTGATACTGGATTCTGTCTAGGAGTGGTGTAGAGGTCAGCAATACTAGAGAACAGAATAGAAATTGTAATTAGTTTCTGCCTGACTTCAAAATTAGAGAATCCCCTAAAATGCAGAACATGTGTTTTACCAGTTTGATTTGACATTTGTCAGGGCAGTTAACAATATTTGTTAGCCATTTTGGAAGTACAACAGTCACATGGTTACATGACATGTCCTTAAGAGACATCTGTAAAAAGTCCATTACTTGTTGCCTTCAATATCTCCAGGTTCATTGTTATTTCTCTGCATTGCCATTGTCAGTATCTTTGTGCTCAAATTTACTTTAAGGAGAAGAATTTTTTTTTTTATTGATGCTTTATAATGACTCTTGTTCACATTAAGTATCAACTGGGACTCTCATTAAATCTTGATTAGTTTTTTTGTATGTAAAATACCTTTTGCCTTTGTCATAGGAGGATATTTTAAGGCTAAGTGTAATTGTTAATTTAAGTTCTGCAGAGGAACCATTTGTCTTACGTTATTTTTCAAATTAATTATTTTCTTAGTAAATATTTATCGAGAGCTTAACAGTTGCTCTGAAATTGCCAAGCAGTAGGGTTATTAAAATGAGTTAGGCATGTTTTTTTGTTGCCCCTCAGAAATATTCTACCTGGCTAAAAGAGAAGAAGGTAAGCTTAAAATATAAATGACTAATGTAATCTATTTTATATTTAGTGCTAAATGAATGATTGGGGGAAAGGAATGAAAGAAAGAAATGAACATTTATTTGGCACCTACTTTGTATATCTTTGTGCATCTCTGAAGACTTAAATAGTTTGTTGCGATGAATTCTTTATGCAACCCAATGGAGGCAAATAATTGGTATGTCTCTTTTATTGAAAGAGAAACAGGTTTAGAATGGTTAAATAATCAAGTTACACAGGTAATGAAAGAACAAGGATTCATACTTAGAGTCTCTAGCTCTGAATTCCATGCATTTTGAATTATACCAAGCAACTCGAAGAGCTAATGCTTTGGAGTCTAAAAGAGGTAGCAGAAG